AGACAGTCTCACTATGTCACCCTCAGTAGAGTTCTGTAATGTCATAGCTCACAGAAACTTCAAACTCTTGGGCTTAAGTGATTCTCTTGCCTCAGCCTCCCAAGTAGCTGGGACTACAGGCACCCACCACGACTCCCGGCTATTTTTTGTTGCAGTTGTCATTGTTTAGCTGGCCCAGGCTGGGTTTGAACCTACCACCTTTGGTGTATGTGGCTGGTGCCATAACCACTGTGCTTTGGGTGCCAAGCCAAAACTGGATATTTTTTAAATAGGTTGAGTTAGTTGATCACATTTATATGCTGAGATCAAAGAAAAGGGGAAAGGAAAAAGTTGACTATCCATGAAGGAGATGGGTAAGTAAAGGAGCAAAGTTCCTGAAGAGGCAGAAAGGAAAGAGATACAGATCACAGTGAAAGGATCGACACTGAATTTGAAGTGAGACCTCTCCACTTCTGAAATAGAAAGGATGAGAGAGAATCAAATGTTTGCAGAGAACAGAAAATTGAGGCAGTTGCCCCCATTGCCTTCATTTTCTCTGTGACACAGAATGGGGGATGGTGGGAGAGACTGACACATGGAAGGATTTCTGGACACGCTAAGGGCCCAGCTGAGGAGACTATGAATTTGTATTGGGTACAAGTTCAGTTAGCTTAAGTGATTTATTCTACCTAAAGAGTGACTCCTTGACCCCTTAGATCAGAGGGCCTCAGAGCTGGGAAGCTACTATGAACTGGAGAGTAGTCTTACCTTTTCTGGTTTCTGCCTCTTCCTACTTTATTTTCTATTCCCAGATGGTCTTTTTCCTTCTCTCATTCATCACAGTAGATGGTAAGTGGATACACCATAGCTCCTGAGTCTGTATCTCTTCTGGCAAGAAACTAGTTCAATTAGAAACAAAATCTCTTAGCCATAATCCTAGATTCTCAGGCGAGAACATCTGCTTAACACAGCTTCAATCAGGAATCCACTCATAGTTCAATAAACTGCAGCCAGGCACTAGGGGTCACACAAGACAAATATGGCCCTGGGGCCTCTGGATTTGGAGTGAAGGTATGGAAAATATAATTCCCATAGAACAGGGCTCATGGGCTGGGCTAACCTAAATTTGTGTCCTTCCAGGAGCTGAAATCCGCAGGATTGAGTGACTTCCTTTATTCTGGTTTAGTACAGGAGAGTAGACAAATGTAGATAGCTGGAATGATCCAGGAGTATGATTTTTTTTTTTTTTTGAGACAGAGTCTCAGTATGTCACCCTTGGTAGAGTGCAGAGGCATCACAGCTTACAGCAACCCTAAATTCTTGGGCTTAAACGATTCTCTTGCCTCAGCCTCCCAAGTAGCCGGGACTACAGGTGCTCCCACAATGCCTGGATATTTTTGTTGTTGTTTTTGTAGTTGTCATTGTTGTTTAGTAGGCCCAGGCCGGATTTGAACCCGCCAGCCCTGGTGTATGTGGCCAGCACCCTAACTACTGAGCTACGGGTGCCAAGCCCAGGAGTATGAATTTTATAGAATAAAGACAAGCATATTAACAAAACATGACTGAAGTCACAGACCTAAAGGTCTTTACTGGGCAGGAAAAGAAGTGAAGCCAAGAAGATCCTGATACACTAGCTAAGATTGATGATGAATAGAAGAGCTGCTGGTATGAGATGGGAGGAGTTGGGGAGCAGGAATCCTGAAGGTTGTGGAGTACCAGAGTTTAATAATTCACTCATGGGGACAGCTCCCCTTGTGCTTACCTAAGATGCTTGTATTCAAACACACTCCCAAATGTGCATAGTTCTCAAAAGCTGTTACACAGCCCTTGATAATGAGCTGTTTTAGGAAGCAAGGCTGTCACCTTCTCCAACTATTCTGAATGCCTGCACTTTAAAACTAACGATATATCCCGCTTTTTCCCCCAGTTATCATAAGCAATGGGTATAAGAAACTAATAATGAGACAGTGTTGTGGCCCAGGCTGATTGGTGCTAGCCACATACACTGAGGGTGGCGGGTTCGAACCTGACCCGGGCCAGCTAAACAATGACAACTGCAACAAAAATAGCGGGGCGTTGTGGTGGGTGCCTGTCGTCCCAGCTACTTGGGAGGTTGAGGCAAGAGAATCATTTAAGTCCAAGAGTTTGAGATTGCTGTGAGCAGAGAGGGACATCAAGCATCAAGAAAGGAGAAGCTGAGGATGTGCAAATGTAAAAAAAAAAAAAAAAGCTTCACTGGGAAAATTTTGAGGCCAGTAGTTCAAGGATAGGTAGACCAGTTAGAAAGAGAGTGAGAGGGAGATAAGCCTTTTCCCATTAGTGCTGATGGAAAAGAGGGGCATGTGTAAGCCCCAGGCTGATAAAGATGAAGGAGGTCTGGGCATGTCTAGGGTTGATAACCATAATAACAGCGTCCATTTATGGACTACTTTCTAGTCCCAGGTATTCTGCCGGTTACTTCACATGGATTGGAGTTTAAATTGTATGAAATTGCAGGTATTTGATGTTTACATCCTACAAAAATGACAATTTCATACAGTTCAACCTAACACTATCTCATTTCGTCCTCACCACAGCAGCTCCGTGAAACAGCTATTAATGTCTCTATTCAAAGATGAGAAAACTTAAGACTCAGAAAGTGAAAGCCTTTGTTTACAGCAGCACAAGCTCTAAGTGATGAAACCAAGCTCTGAACCCACCCACACTGTTTGACTAGAAGGCCAGGGTGCTTTCTAGCACACCACAGCTACCAGGGAAGCAAATGAATTATGTTAAGAACTCAAAGACAGAGTCTCACTTATGTCGCCCTCGGTAGAGTGCTGTAGCGTCACAGCTCACAGCAACCTCCAACTCCCGGGCATAAGTGATTCTCCTGCCTCAGCCTCCCGAGTAGCTGGGACTACAGGCGCCCACCACAACGCCCGGCTATTTTTTGGTTGCGGTTGTCATTGTGGTTTAGCAAGGCCGGGCCGGGTTCGAACCCGCTAGCCTTGGTGTATGTGGCTGACGCCATAACCACTGTGCAACGGGCACCGAGCCAGACCCTGAGGGTTTTTTTTTTTTTTTT